ATTATACTTAAACAAATTTCAAAACACACATATATACACACACTGACTCAAGGTAATCTTATTTCACCGTATTGAAGCTAGTTTGCTTTTCACCTCTGTGGCATTGGACAAGTAGTATATAGCTTCTAAGTTGTGACGTACTTCCGGGTCTAATTGATCGGCACGAAAACCGCTAAAATAAAGCGAAATTTTTTAGATTGACTTAACCTTTACCTGAAGCAATTAGGACTTTGGACCACAAATTCTGTCATGAAGATAAAGTAAAAAAAAAAAAAAATTTAAAGAAATGCTTTTCATTTTGGACCCGGAAGTCGTTTATTCATACGAGTAACGTCACCCTTATATACTCTATATATGTCATGGGTAGGTTGGATTGCTCTCCCGTTCTTCAAAGTTTTCGTTCGTTGTCCTTCGATTTTCTTCCCTTAAATCATTATATAAGCGTGTTCCCTGTTGCACGAATGCTGTGCGTGTACTGTGGAGTAGACCATTCTCGATATCCCAAATTACCGCTGTGTTCCTTGACTACAGACTCATTTTCACTCACTCAGGGCTAGCCTCATTTCATTTTCTAAATATTCACAAATACCAACGGTAAAGTAAAGAATGCACAACTTCAACAATATGAACAATTGATTAGCTGACATTCACAGGAATACATGAATATTCTTCACAAAATTAAGACTAACCTTGAAGAACTGACAAGGAATGAAAAAGTTACACATATTTATTTTTGCGTACCATATATCCTTGAAAAACGTCGTAAGAAATTGTACAAATTTGCACAAATTAGTAAGCTCAGCAGACCGTAAACCTACAAAACTTTGCACTAATTTGTACAATTTTGTTAGTTGACGTTTTCACAGATATATATGGTATACACCCTGTTAGTAGTGATTCAGTGATTTGTCGTAATGTTTCAGCACGTGGTTCAGTGCGTATTCGTTGCTGTAAAGACTATTGGTAACATCATGTTGGTCACAGTCCTGTTCAACTTCTTGTTCGCTGTCATTGGGGTACAACTGTTCAAGGTAACAACTTGGTCTGTACAAGCATTTCTTGATGGTCTCGGTTGTCAAGGAGCAATCTATTTAATATTCGTCTTCCATTTCTTCGTTAAAAATCTCTTTTTGACTCACGGATACTCCGTAGGAGTAGTTGTGGGTCTATGCTATCACTTGGCTCATTTGCATAAAAAACTGTTATAGTCCAAAGCCTCCAGCCTGCTTTGCGCGCTGTGTTTTGAAACCAGATAAACCAGTTTAAGAGTCATTTGCATAGAAAACTGCGAACTAAACCAGATAAACCAGTTTACGAGTCATTTGCATAGAAAACTGCCAACTAAACCAGATAAACCAGTTTACGAGTCATTTGCATAGAAAACTNAGTCATTTGCATAGAAAACTGCCAACTAAACCAGATAAACCAGTTTACGAGTCATTTGCATAGAAAACTGCCAACTAAACCAGATAAACCAGTTTGTTACACACCCACGTTTTATGCAAATCTTTAAATTCCTCGAAAATTCCTCGATTTTGAAATCCATCGAAAACGAATAAAAGATTTGAATTTAAAAAGTCGCAGATCTAGAATAATCTTGCACAAACCTTGATATAACAAGCAGTTTACTGAGATGGAATTTCTTACGCATTCCATATCTCATTCGATCTTTACCGTGATCAATGATATTAATGCTGTTTTCGATGTTCTGCGAAGAGCAACCGATGACGTCATGATTGCGCACATGCTTATATGCTGCAATGTTGTTGTGTTTTTTTTTTGTGACTATTGTATATCATCCATATCGAGCATATTGATCCCAGAATCCTTTGCGATGTCTATTTCTACTAACCGTGAGAAACGCACGCTATTGGCGCGTTTTCGCTTCCATTACAGCGCTTCTCAATCACACGCGCAAAATCGCCAAGCAAAGTGTTTCCCAGCATTTTCGGAAAACACGAAGCTTTTAAGGGCACGTAACTATGGAATGTCATGGAAACGCATTAATTGACGTCCACCAAAACCTACTTCCTCGCAATGGCAAATTGTACGATTTCACGCGTATGATTCCGAAGCGCTGTAACCAAACTTAAACGTAGTTGTGTATGTTTTAGGGAACGTTTTTCTACTGTACTGATGGTGAGAAGATTACAAAAGAAGCCTGCAGGTAAGCTACCTTCTAAATCTACATTCATCTTCATACCACGTAGTACAGTGATCATTTACCACAGAGAAAAACGCTCACAGTGCAAATCGAAAAACCGTGGGCACTTAGAAAATATTCTAGGAATGTTCTGTTTTTCTTTGGCCAATCAGAATGGACTTTCTAACCACAAGATAACGGAAAAATAACAATAACGCTTCTGATTGGCTGATTAAACATTATTGAAATATTTCTGGGTGCCCACGGTTTTTCGATTCGCACTATAATGAAATGTTGTTTTTCATGCCGTTTTTCACCGCTCTTCACCATCTAATCGTCATGCCTAAAACATAGCCTTTTGTACTTCTAGCAAAATTTAATGTCACGTGTGCGACCTGTTGGATTTTCTGTGCGCTTCGTTGTTGTTGAATCTAAGTTAGCTGTTTTTATTTCCAGGGGAGAGTACATAGAATTCAAGGGTCCTGGACTCACAAATCCTGTGGTAAGTAGTGTTGAGTACTAAGACCTTTCCTTCAAGTCAGTCATTAGTTTTTGGTTTTTTTGAGAAAACGTGTGTACGAATTATTAAGATGTTTGTGTGCTTGGCATTTTAATACCAACAAAAAATACAAACCTCTCCACCATTGCAATAAAAATATAAAAACTCATTGGTTATTGTGTTACTGTCATCAACCTCTTATTAGTTTTTTCTTTTCATTTGGTGGCCTGGAAATCCATAATTTCAAGAGGAAAGGTGACACCTCAGTTTTGCAAATTTTCTTGATTCTGATTGGCTAACATTTCCTCTCAGATCAACTGGCATTCTCGTGGTTAGATGAGTGCGTAGTATTGTAATATAGTACTAAAGACTGTTGTAGTTCTTAGTGTGTGACATCTTCTCACTCCAGACGAATCTTCTCACATGATGTTTACTCTTTGATTTCCAGACAAAACAGAGAGAATGGAAGTTTCGCGAATTCAATTTTGACAACGTTGGCAACGCCATGATGACCCTCTTCACAGTCATGACTTTTGAAGGATGGCCAGGGTAAACAACAATTTAAGACTAAGTTTCACTCGTAAATCATAGGAAAAATTCGTTAAATTATTGTAGCCGTACTTAAATGTCTTACGACCATTGCAAATAATGGGGACTACAGCTAGGTCAGTAGAATGCGTTTCTAATCCACTCGAAAAAGAATTTAATGGTAAGCCATTTCAGTGTTATAGGTCAGTGGCATGCGCTTTCTAATCCACTCAGAAAAACATGGGAAGCCATTTCAGTGTTAGCTTATGTCGTATCGTGTACATGCTGCAGCCAGATCAGTGGCATGCGTTTTCTAATTCAC